CGACCCCAGGTTGATTTTTGGGGCGGGAGAGGGGCAATTTTCGGAGTGGGGGAGGGGCAATTTTGGAGGTGGGGGAGGGGCGATTTTGGGGTGATTTTGGGGGTGGGGGAGGGGCAATTTTGGGAGTGGTGGATGGGCGATCCCAGGTTGATTTTGGGGGTGGGGGAGGGGCGATTTTGGGACGATTTTGGGGCGATTCTCCCGGTGGGGGAGGGGCATTTTTGGGGTGATTTTGGGGGTGGGGGAGGGGCAATCCCAGGTTGATTTTGGAGGTGGGGGAGGGGCGATTTTGGGGGTGGGGGAGGGGCAATCCCAGCTTGATTTTGGAGGTGGGGGAGGGGCAATTTTGGAGGTGGGGGAGGGGCATTATGGGGGTGGGGGAGGGGTAATTTTGGGAGTGGGGGAGGGGCGATTTTGGGAGTGGGGGAGGGGCAATTCCAGATGAATTTTGGAGGTGGGGGAGGAGCGAATTTGGGAGTGGGGGAGGGGCAATCCCAGATAAATTTTGGAAGTGGGGGAGGGGCGATTTTGGGAGTGGGGGGAGGGGCGACCCGGGGTTAATTTTGGTGGTGGGGGAGGGGCGATTTTGGGAGTGGGGGAGGGGCAATTTCATGAGTGGGGGAGGGGCGATCCCAGGTTGATTTTAGGGGTGGGGGAGGGGCAATTTTGGGGGTGGGGGAGGGGCGATCCCTGTCTGATTTTGGGGGTGGGGGAGGGGCAGTCAGAGACATTTTTTGGGGTGGGGGAGGGGCAATTTTGGGGTGATTCCCTTAATGGGGGAGGGGCGATCCCGGGCCCGAATTTCTTGGGGATTTCGGGGGTGGGGGAGGGGCCGCAGCCCCCCGGGGTGGGGGTGGGGGAGGGGTGGGGGAGGGGCGGTACCGTCCAGACGTGGCCCTGGGTGCTCATGTCGCAGTAGACGGGCACGGGGGGCGCCCCTCCCCCCGCGGGGGACACCAGGTACACCCCGTCCTCCCGCGCCCCCCCCCGCGTGCACGTCCTGGCAGTCCCGGGGGGGGAGGGGCGGGCAGAACGGGGGGGCTGGGGGGGAGGGGGAGGGGCGAACATGGGGGTTGGGGGTGGGGGAGGGGCGAATATGGGGTTCGGGGGTGGGGGAGGGGGGAGAGTGGAATTTAAGGTGGGGGAGGGGGAAAAATTGAATTGGGGGGTGGGGGAGGGGTAGAAATGGGGTTTGGGGGTGGGGGAGGGGCAAAAATGGGGGGGAGGGGGTAAAAATGGGGGTTCGGGTGGGGGAGGGGCGGAATGAGGGGGGTTTGGGTGTGGGGGAGGGGGGAAAAGGGGGGGAGGGGGGAGAAAATGGGGGAAAGTGGGGAGAAAATGGGGTGGGGGAGGGGGGAAAAGAGCGGAAATGGGGTTTGGGGGGGTGGGGGAGGGGTAAAAAGGGGAGTTGGGGTGGGGGAGGGGGAAAAAGGGGGGGACGGGGGAGAAAATGGGGTGGGGGAGGGGGAAAAATGGGGTTTGGGGGTGGGGGAGGGGGAAAAGGGAGGAATTGGGATTTTGGGGGTGGGGGAGGGGGAAAATGGGGTGGGGGAGGGGTAAAAATGGGAGTTGGGGGTGGGGGAGGGGTAAAAAGGGGGGAGGGGGTGGGGGAGGGTGGAAAGGGGGTGGGGGTGGGGTAAAAATGGGATTTAAGGGTGGGGGAGGGGTAAAAATGGCGGAAATGGGATTTGGGGGTGGGGGAGGGGTAAAAATGGAGTGGGGAGGGGGGAAAATGGAATTTGGGGTGGGGGAGGGGCAAATTGGGATTTGGGAGGTGGGGGAGGGGAAAAAGGGGGGGAGGGGCGGAAAGGCAGTGGGGGAGGGGTAAAAATGGGATTTGGGGTGGGGGAGGGGCAGCGGGGTCACTCTCGGTCTGCGGCCCCTCCCCCCCCCCCCCCCCCGGAGGCGTCAGCGCCGCCCCTCCCCCACCCCAGCGCCGCCAGTTCCCTCCCAGTTTGTCCCAGTTTGTCCCAGTCCATCCCAGTCCCCCATTAACCCTCCCAGTCCCTCCCAGTCCCTCCCAGTTCATCCCAGTTTGTCCCAGTTTGTCCCAGTCCCTCCCAGTCCCTCCCAGTCCATCCCAGTCCCTCCCAGTATAACCCAGTTCCCCCCCAGTCCCTCCCGGTCCGCCTTTAACCCCTCCCAGTTCATCCCAGTCCCTCCCAGTCCCTCCCAGTTTGTCCCAGTTCCCTCCCAGTCCCTCCCAGTCTGTCCCAGTTCCCTCCCAGTCCCTCCCAGTCCCTCCCAGTCCGTCCCAGTCTCACCCTGGGGTCCGATCGGCTGCCCCCGGCTGAGGGTCCCCAGCGCCACCAGCAGCGCCACGGCCACGAACTGGGGGGGGGATTTGGGGGAAATTTGGGGGATTTTGGGAAAATTTGGGGGATTTTTGGGAATTTGGGGGGAATTTTGAGGGTTCCCGAAGGAAATTTGGGGAAAATTTGGGGGAAATTTGGGGTATTTTGGGGTTTTTTGAAGGGAATTTGGGGAAATTTTGGGGGATTTTCAGGATTCCTGAAGGGAATTTGGGGGAATTTTGGGGGAAATTTGGGGGATTTTGAGGAAATTTGGGGGATTTGGGGAAAATTTGGGGGAAATTTGGGGGATTTGGGGGATTTTGGGGAATTTTGGGGGGATTTTGAGGGTTCCCGAAGGGAATTTGGGGGAAATTTGGGGGGGTTGGGGCGGTTTGAGGGAATTTCCGGGAAATTTTGGGTCAATTTGGGGGTTCCGGAAGGGATTTGGGGGAAATTTGAGGAATTTTGGGGGATTTTGGAGAATTTTGTGGCTCCCGGGTTGAATTCGGGAGATTTTGGGGCTTTTTTGGGGTGAATTCGGGGGATTTGAGGGAATTTGGGGAGTTTTTTGGGGTGGATTTGGGGGATTTTGGGGTTCCCAGGGTGGATTTTGCTATTCCCGAGTTGAATTTGGGGGAATTTTGGGGCTTTTTTGGGGGCAATTTCGGGGGATTTAAGGAGTTTTTGGGATGGATTTGGGAGATTTTGGCATTCCCGAGTTGAATTTGGGAGATTTTGGAGCTTTTTTGGGGTGAATTCAGGGGATTTAAGGAGGTTTTGGGGTGAATTTGTGGGATTTTGGGAGTTCTAGGGAGTTTTTGGGTGAATTAGGGGGATTTGAGGGAATTTTGGGAGGTTTTGGGTGAATTTGGGGGTTTTTTTGGGGGTGAATTTGGGCAATTTTTGGAGTTTTTGGGTGAATTTGGGGGATTTGAGGGAATTTTGGGGTGAATTCAGGGGATTTGAGGAGTTTTGGGGGTATTTTGGGGCTTTTTCTGGGGTGAATTCAGGGGATTTTGGGAGTTTTTGGGAGTTTTTGGATGAATTTGGGGGATTTGGGGCTTTTTTTGGGGAGTGAATTCGGGGGATTTGAGGAGTTTTTGGGATTTTTTGGGTGAATTTGAAGTTTTTTTGGGGTGAATTCGGGGGATTTGAGGAGTTTTTGGGGCTATTTTGGGGCTTTTTTTGGGGTGAATTCGGGGGATTTTGGGCAATTTTGGGAATTTTTTAGGTGAATTTGGTTTTTTTTGGGGTGAATTCGGGGGATTTTGGGCAATTTTGGGAGTTTTTTGGTGAATTCGGTGGATTTGTTTTTTTTGGGGGGTGAATTCGGGGGATTTGAGGAGGTTTTGGGTGAATTTGGGGTTTTTTGGGGGTGAATTCGGGGGATTTTGGGGCAATTTTGGGAGTTTTTGGGTGAATTTGGAGTTTTTTTGGGGTGAATTCGGGGGATTTTGGGCAATTTCGGGGTCCCGTTACCTCCATGGCTCCGGAGCGGCTCCGAATCCGGGCGGGGGTGGGGGAGGGGCGGCCCGGGGGCCCCTTTTGGGGGGGGGAGGGGGAGGGACCCCCGGCCCTGCCCTTTTTTGGGAGAAAAATCCCAAAATCCGCCCTTTTAGCTGCCAAAAAAAAAAAAAAAAACCCAAAAAAACAACGGAATTTCCCTTTCTTTTAATTATTTTTTTTAAAAATTTTTAATTACTTTATTTTGGAAAAAAAATCGGATTTTACAGCGGGGGGGGGGGGGACATCCCAAATTTGGGGATTTTTGTGGGATAAAAACCCAATTTTACATTTTTTTTGGGGGAGAAATAAATTCACTTTTCCGACTCTGAATTCCCTCAAATTTGGCCCCAAAAAGGAGGAAAAAAATCCCAAAATTCGCCCCAAAATGAGGAGAAAACGCCAAATTTTGGGGCTCTCTGGGGGTTGTGTCCCTGTTTTTCCCAATTTTCCCCCGATTTTCCCATTTTCCCCCCGATTTTCCCATTCTTTTCCAGATTTTTTTCCTGTTTTTTTCCTGATTTTCCCTCTTTTCCCTCATTTTTCTCTCCTCCCCCCCCCCCTCCGATTTTCCCGATTTTTGCCTTTTTTGAAGGGAAAACACCCCCGACTCGCCCCTCCGAGGCACCCCCATCATTTCTGAGGTTTTTTTTAAGGAATAAACCCTAAAATTCCCATTTTTTACAGAAAAACGTTTTTTTTGAGGGAACTTCAGGAATTTGGGGGTTTCCACGGGAATTTTTTGCCTTTTTTTGCGGAATTTTGGCTTTTTAATAAAAACCCACCCTCGACTCCGCGTATCTGACGTGAAAAGGCGCTGAACTCTGCGGGTTTGGGGGAAAATCCCCGAATTTGGTCATTTTAGAACGAACGAATCCTAAAATTTGTGGTTTTTAACGGCAAAAAAATTAAATTTTTTCCCCCCGTGTGGGGCTTAACCCCCCCAATTTCGCCCCTTCACGAAGAAAACTCGCCCCTCCACAGAGGACCCACCCAAACTCCGCCCCTTTGCTGGGGAAACGCCCCGAATTCCACGTTTTTATCGTGAAAAAAAACACCCAAAATTCGCCTTTTTTTGGGGTATAAACCCGGCGGGCTGCGCTGGCGCCGCATAGCGGCTCGGAGGACCTCACAGAGCGCGGCGAGCCTTGAGTCTACAAGATGGCGGCAGCGCGCGATGCGCGCCGGGAGTTGTAGTTCAAACCTCATTAGGAATCAATGGATATGCTCGCTAAGCAACTACAACTCCCATCACACACCGCGCAGCAGCCGAGTACAAAATGGCGGCGCGCCGCGGCGCACGCCGGGATTGTAGTCCGCCCCACCCCGCTGTTAACGGAAGAGGCGGAGCTAAAGGACTACGACCCCCATCGCCCCCCGCGGCCGCGCATGCGCGCGGGGCGGAAGTGGAGGTGGGGCCCGCGCGCGTGGCGTCGCCTCAGCGTCCGCTCAGGGGAGGCCGCGCGGGGATTCGCGGGGAACTGTCGCGACAGAGCGGAGCTGTCGGCGATAGAGGAGCAGGTGAGGGCAGAGGGGGGAGGGGGGGACGTGGGGGAGGGAGGGGGGGGACGTGGGGGGGAGGGGGGGGAGGGGAAAGGGGGGGGATGAGGGGGGGAGGGGCGAGGCCCGCGCGCGGCCTTGGCGGGAACGTGAGGGGGGGGGCGGCGGGAAGGGGGGGGGCGCCGTGAGGGGAGGGAGGGGGGCGGTGTGAGGGGGAAAAAAAAGGGAAATTCCGGGTGGAAAATGGGGAAAAATTGGGTAAAAATGGGAAAATTCTGAGGTGAGGGACGAAAAAATGGGATTTTGGGTGGAAAATTGGGTGAAAAATGGGGAAAATATGAGGGGCGGCGTGAGGGGAGGGGGGGGGGCGGCGTGAGGGGTGAAAAAAAAGGAAAATTCCGGGTGAAAAATGGGGAAAATTGGGTAAAAATGGGGAAATTCTGAGGTGAGGGAGGAAAAAATGGAATTTTGGGTGAAAATGGGGAAGTTTTGGGTGAAAAATGGGGAAGATTGGGTGGAAAATGGGGAAGTTCTGAGGTGAGGGAGGAAGAAATGGGATTTTGGGTGAAAAGTGGGGAAATTCGGGTGGAAAATGGGGAAATTCTGAGGTGAAGGAGGAAAAATGGGATTTTGGGTGAAAAGTGGGGAAGTTTTGGGTGGAAAATGGAGAAAATTGGGTGGAAAATGGGGAAATTTCAGTGGAAAATGGGGAAATTTTGAGGTGAGGAAGAAATGGAATTTGGGTGAAAAATGGGGAAGTTTTGGGTGGAAAATGGGGAAAATTGCGTGGAAAATGGGGAAATTCTGAGGTGAGGGAGGAAAAAATGGGATTTGGGGTGAAAAATTGGGAAAATTGGGTGAAAATGGGGGGAAATTGTGTAAAAATGGGGAAATTCTGAGGTGAGGGAGGTAAGAATGGGTATTTGGGTAAAAAATGGGGAAGTTTTGGGTGAAAAATGGGGAAATTTTGAGGTGAGGGGGGGAAAAATGGGATTTTGGGGTGAAAAATGGGGAATTTGGGGAAATTAAAGCCATTTTTGGGGAAATGGGATTTGGGGGGAAAAGGGAGATTTGGGGTAAAAAAAGAGAAAAAAGGGGAATAAAAATGAGTTGTGAGGGGAAAGTGAAAGTTGAACAGGGGAAGTGTGAAGGGAAAAAAAAGGTTTTGGGTGAGAAAAAGTTTTGGGTGAAAAAGGGGAGGTTTTGGTTAAAAAGAAAAAAAAAGTTCTGGGGAAATTTGGATTTTTTGAGGGGGATCGTGGGGAGAAAAAGGTGAAAAATGGGATTTTAGAGGGGGGAAAAATGGGATTTTAGAGGGGGGAAAATGGGGAAATTTTGGGGTGAAAAATGGGAAATTTTGAGTGAAAAATGGGGAAATTTTGAGGCGAGGGAGGAAAAAAAGGGATTTTGGGGATGAAAAGAGATTTTTTTGGGGTCATGAGGGGAAAAAAATGGGATTTTTGGGGATTTGGGGTTAAAAATAAGAATTTAGGGGTTTGTGAGGGGAAAGTTGGGATTTCTGGGAGTTTTGAGGGGAAAATGGGGATTTTTTAGGGGAAAATGGGGATTTTTGGGAGAATATTGAGGGAAAATGGGGATTTTTGGGAGGTTTGTGAGGGAAAAAGTGGAATTTTTGAGGGGAAAATGTTGATTTCTGGGGGATTTTTGAGGGAAAAATGGGGATTTTTGGGAGGTTTGTGAGGGGAAAAGCGGAATTTGGGGTAAAAAAAGGGATTTTGAGGGGAAAATGGGAATTTTGGGGTAAAAAATGAGGGTTTGAGGAGGGAAAAGCGGATTCCAGTGCAAAGAAGGCGATTTTGGATGAAAAAAAGGCTTTTTTTTGGTAAGTGTGAGGGGAAATTTGGGGTAAAATAGAGGGAAAATTGTGATTTTTGGGGTGGAAAATGGGAAATTTTGGGGGATTTCTGCAGGAAAACAGGAATATGAGAAAAAAGGAGATTTTTTGGTGGAAAAGGGAATTTTTTTGAGGTGTGGTGGGGCTTTTGGGAGGTTTTTGAGGATAAAAGTGATTTTTTTAGGAGTTCAGAGGGTTTGTGAGGGGAAAAATTGAAGTTTTTTGAGGGAAAAGAGTTTTTAGTGGGAAAAAAGTGATTTTAAAAAAGATTTTTGAGGGGAAAAATGAAGTTTGAGGGATTTTAAGGTTTTTAGGAGAGAGCTGAGGAGTAAAAGTTGAATTTTTTGGGGGTTTTAAAGTAAAAATTGGAGTTCTGAGGGGACAAATTGTCATTTTGGGGGAAAAAATGAGATTTTTGGGGTGTTGGAAGGGGAAAAATGGAGATTTTTGTAAAGTTTGTGAGGTAAAATTTAATCTGAGGTAATTTATGAGGCAAAAATTTAAATTTTAATTGGAATTTATGAGGTAAAAAAGCGTTTTTGAGGAAGAAAAGTGAGATTTTGGGGGGTTTCAGGAGAAAAAAAATGAAGATTTTGGAGTTGTGAGGGAGGAAAAGGATTTTGGGGAAATCCAAAGTAAAAAAAGTGGATTTTTGTGGAGATTTGAGGGGAAAAAAGTGGAGTTTAGGGAAATTGTGAGGGGAAAAGTGAATTTTGAGGAGAATTCTGAGGAGAAAATTGATTTTTTTGGGTGTTTTGTGTGAAAAAATGTAATTTTAATGGAATTTTGAGGGGAAAAGTGAAATTTGGGACAAGTTGTGAGGAGAAAATTGATTTTTTTTGTGTTTTGAACAAAAAAAAAAGTAATTTTAGAGGAATTCTGAGGAGTTTGAGGAGTGGAAATGGTGTTAGTGGAAAAATTTGATTTTTGTGTGGAAAAAAAGCGTTTTTGAGGGAATTTTGAGGAGAAATTTGGGGTTTGGGACAGTTCTGAAGGGATTTTGGGGAGATAAATCCATTTTTTAGGGAATTTGTGAGGGAGAAAAGTGGAATTTTGAGAGAAAAATTAGGTTTTTTAGGAGTGTGAGGGGGGAAAATGAAATTTGAGGGGAGTCTTGAGAGGAAAAGGGCAAAAATTCGCATTTTAGGGGAAAATTATTTATTTTAGGGTGTCATGAGGGAAAAAAAGGGATTTTGAGGGGAAAAAAAGTGATTTTGGGAGGGAAAAGTGGATTTTGGAGTGGGGAAAAGTGAATTTGGGAAAAAAAGGGGATTTTAGGGGAATTTCAAGGAAGTTTTGGGGAGGAAAATGGGGATATTGGGTTCAAAAGTGGGAATTCATGTCAGAAAATGGAAATTTTGGGGAAAAAATGGGGATTTTGGGTTAAAAAGTGGGATTTTGGGTTAAAAAAGTGGGAATTTGTGTAGGAAAATGGGGATTTTGAGGAAAAAAATGGGGATTTTGGGTTAAAAAGTGGGAATTCATGTAGGAAAATAGGGATTTTGAGGGAAAAAATGGGGATTTTGGGTTAAAAGTGGGGAATCATGTAGGAAAATAGAAATTTTGAGGAGAAAAATGGGGATTTTGGGTTAGAAAGTGGGAATTCATGTAGGAAAATGGGGATTTTGAGGGAAAAATGGGAATTTTGGGTTGAAAAGTGGGAATTCATGTGGGGAAATGGGAATTTTGAGGAGAAAAGTGGGGATTTTGGGTTAATAAGTGGGAATTCATGTAGGGAAATGGGGATTTTGAGGGGAAAAATGGGGATTTTGGGATAAAAAGTGGGAATTCCTGTAGGAAAATGGGGATTTTGAGGAGAAAAATGGGGATTTTGGGTTGAAAAGTGGGAATTCATGTAGGGAAATGGGGATTTTGAGGGAAAAAATGGGGATTTTGGGTTAAAAGTGGGAATGTCTGTAGGGAAATTGGGATTTTGAGGAGAAAAATGGGGATTTTGGGTTAAAAAGTGAGAATCTGTGTAGAAAAACAGGAATTTTGGGGAGAAAAATGGGGATTTTGGGTTAAAAAGTGGGAATTCCTGTAGGAAAATGGGAATTTTGAGGGGAAAATGGGGATTTTGGGGAGAAAAATGGGAATTTTGGGTTAAAAAGTGGGAATTCCTGTAGGAAAATGGGGATTTTTGGGAGAAAAGTGGGGATTTTGGGTTAAAAAGTGGGAATTCATGTAGGGAAATGGGGATTTTGGGAAGAAAAATGGGAATTTTGGGTTAGAAAAGGGTTTTTTTTAGGGTGGGAGGTTTTGGGGTCAGTGAGGGGGGATTGGGGTGGGGGAAATTTGAGGGTTGGGGATGTAGGAATGGGGGATTTGGGGGATTTTGGGGAATTTTGGGGGATTTGGGGCTATAGGAACGGGGATTTGGGGCACAGGGATTTTTGGGATTTGGGGCTGTAGGAAAAAGGGGATTTTGGGGATTTGGGGCACGGGAATTTTGGGGATTTTGGGGATTTGGGGCTGTTGGATTGGGGGGATTTGGGGCACAGGGATTTAGGGGATTTGGGGCTATAGGAACAGGGGGATTTCGGGGATTGGGGGCACAGGGATTTTGGGGATTTTGAGGATTTAAGGCACGGGGATTTAGGGGATTTTGGGGATTTGGGGCACAGGGATTTCGGGGATTTTGGGCACAGGGATTTAGGGGATTTTTGGGATTTTGGGCACAGGGATTTTGGGCACAGGGATTTAGGGAATTTTGGGGATTTGGGGCTATAGAAACAAGGGGATTTCGGGGATTGGGGGTTATAGGAACAGGGGGATTTTGGGGATTTTGGGCACAGGAATTTTGGGGATTTGGGGCACAGGGATTTAGGGGATTTGGGGATTTTGGGCACAGGGATTTTTGGGATTTGGCGCTATAGGAACAGGGGGATTTGGGGATTTTTAGCACGGGGATTTTGGGGATTTTGGGCACTGGGATTTTTGGGATTTGGGACTATAGGAAGAAGGGGATTTTGGGGATTTGGGTCTATAGGAACTGGGGGGATTTTGGGGATTTGGGGCACAGGGATTTAGGGGATTTCAAACACAGGGATTTGGGGGATCTGGGGGATGTGGGGGGCCCTGACTCCCCCGTTCCCAGCGCTGGGATGTACAATGGGATCGGGCTGTAGGATCGGGGGGATTTAGGGGATTTGGGGCTATAGGAAAAAGGGGGATTTTAGGGGATTTGGGGCACAGGAATTTAGGGGATTTTGGGCACAGGGATTTAGGGGATTTGGGGCTATAGGAACAAGGGGATTTTGTGGATTTGGGACACAGGGATTTTGGGGATTTGGGACACAGGGATTTCGGGGATTTTAGGCTCTGGGATTTTGGGGATTTGGGGGATGTGGGGGGCCCTGACTCCCCCCTTCCCAGCGCTGGGATGTACAATGGGATCGGGCTGTAGGAACAGGGGGATTTGGGGCTATAGGAACATGGAGATTTTGGGGAATTGGGGCACAGGGATTTCGGGGATTTCAAACACAGGGATTTGGGGGATGTGGGGGATGTGGGGGGCCCTGACTCCCCCGTTCCCAGCGCTGGGATGTACAATGGGATCGGGCTGCCGACGCCGCGGGGCAGCGGCACCAACGGCTACGTCCAGCGCAACCTCTCGGCCCTGCGGCCCAAGAAAGGGGGGGCGGGCGCGGACCCCCCCCCCGGCGAGGAGGAGCTGCGGCGCCTCGAGGCCGCCCTGGCCAAGAAACCCAACGCCGACATCCTCGACCACCAGCGCAAGCGGAGGGTGGAGCTGAAATGCCTGGAGCTGGCCGAGCTGATGGAGGAGCAGGGGTGAGTGCTGGGAAGGCCAAAAATAAACCCAAAATGCCCAGAAATATCCTAAAATAATCGGTGAAATGCCTGGAGCTGGCCGAGCTGATGGAGGAGCAGGGGTGAGTGCTGGGAAGGCCCAAATTAAACCCAAAAATAGCCCAGAAAAAGAGCCCCAAAATACCCAAAAATAATTGGTGAAATGCCTGGAGCTGGCCGAGCTGATGGAGGAGCAGGGGTGAGTGCTGGGAAGGCAAAAAAAAGAGCCTAAAATGCCCAGAAATAGCCCCAAAAAAGCCCCAAAAATGAGCCTGAAATATCCAGGAATAGCCCCAAAAATAGCCCAGAAAAAGAGCCCAAAATACCCAAAAATAGCCCAGAAAATAGCCCCAAAAATGAGTCTAAAATAGCCAAAAATAGCCCCAAAAAAGAGCCCAAGAAACCCAGAAATGGCCCCAAAAAAGAGCCCAAAATACCCAAAAATAGCCCCCAAAAACAGCCCAAAATACCCAAAAATAGCCTCAAAAAAGAGCCCAAAATACCCTAAAATAATCGGTGAAATGCCTGGAGCTGGCCGAGCTGATGGAGGAGCAGGGGTGAGTGCTGGGAAGCACAAAAATGAACCCAAAAATAGCCCCAAAAATGGGAGAAATGTCCCTAAAATATCCAGGAAATATCCCCAAAATACCCTGAAAAAAAGAGCCCAAAAGGAGCCCAAAATACCCAGAAATAACCCCAAAAATGGTCCCAAATACCTCCAAAATACCTTGGAAAAAGAGCCTAAAATACCCAGAAATAGCCCCAAAAATGGGACCAAACACCCCCAGAAATACCCTGGAAATAAGAACCCAAAATACCCAGAAATAGCCCCAAAAATAGCCCCAAAAAAGAGCCCAAAATAGCCCCAAAAACAGCCCCAAGAAAGAGCCCAAAATACCCAGAAATAGCCCCAAAAACAGCCCCAAGAAAGAGCTCAAAATACCCAGAAATAGCCCCAAAAAAGAACCCAAAAACCCAGAAATAACCCCAAAAATGAGCCCAAAATACCCAGAAATAGCCCCAAAAAAGAGCCAAAAATGGCCCCAAAAATAGGCCAGAAAAAGAGCCCAAAATGCCCCCAAAAATGCGCCCAAAATGCCCAGAAATAGCCGCAAAAATAGCCCACAAAAAGAGCCCAAAATACCCAGAAATAGCCCCAAAAATAGCCCAGAAAAAGAGCCCAAAATACCCAGAAATAGCCTCAAAAAAGAACCCAAATTTCCCAAAAAAAAGCCCCAAAAATGAGCCCGAAATACCCAAAAATAAAAAAAATACCCTAAAATAATCAGTGAAATGCCTGGAGCTGGCCGAGCTGATGGAGGAGCAGGGGTGAGTGCTGGGAAGGCCAAAAATAAACCCAAAAATGCACCCAAAAATGGGAGAAATGTCCCTAAAATATCCAGGAAATAGCCCCGAAATACCCTGGAAAAAAGAGCCCAAAATACCCAGAAATAGCCCAGAAAAAGAGCCCAAAATACCCAAAAAAACCCCCAAAAATAGCTCAGAAAAAGAGCCCAAAATACCCAAAAATAGCCCAGAAAAAGAGCTCAAAGCATCCAGAAATAGCCCCAAAAAAGGAGCCCAAAATACCCAAAAATAGCCCCAAAAAAGAGCCCAAAATTCCCAAAAATAGCCCCAAAAATAGCCCAAAGAAAGAGCCCAAAATACCCAGAAACGGCCCCAAAAACAGCCCCAAAATTTGGATTTTTGCAGCTACTCGGCCGAGGAGATCGAGGCCAAGGTGGCCACGTTCCGCACGATGCTGCTGGAGAAGGACGAGGGGCCCGGCGACCCCGAGCAGAAACCCACGTGAGCGCCCTCATTTGCATAATTTGCATAATTAGCTTCATTAGCCCTCATTAACCGGCGTCCCTGAGAGCGTTTTGGGGGAAAAAAATTGAATTTTGGGGGGAAAAATGAGATTTTTGGGGTGATTTGAGTGGGTATTGGGGATTTTTGGGGTCTCTAGTACTGATGTCAGTTCGTTAATTACCTTAATTAGCTTAATTGGCTTAATTAGCTCTCATTAACCAGCCCTGTTAATTGGGGGGACGTTGGGGTGGGGAAAAAAGGGAATTTCGGGTGAGAAAAAGGAGATTTTTGGAGGGAAATTGTGAATTTTGGGGAGGAAAATCGGGGGTTTTGAGCTCATTAACGATTTCAATGTTCATTAGTGAAGCCTTAATTAATTAATTTTTGTTAATTACCGTTAATTTCGGTGCGGGATTTTGGGATTTGGTGTCTTTAATAATTTAAATAATAAAGAGAGGAAATTTGGGTTTTTTGGTGATTGACACCATCATTAATTACATGAAAAATCCTTATTTTAATTAATTAATGTGTGTTAATTAGCTTTAATAATAATTGTTTTTTTAGTGATTTTTTCAGGCTTAATTTAAATTTTTACCTCTCAAAACCACCAAAAAATTCACATTTTTGGCGGGATTTTCGTGGTTTTTTGTGGGTTTTTCCCCGTTTTTTTTCTGCAATGAGTTAATTAATGGATGTGCTGATTAATTATGCTAATTAGGGCCACGGAGACGCACCAGCTGGCCGAGGCTAACGAGCGGAAGAACGAGCGGCTCCGCGCCGCCTTCGGCATCAGCGACTCCTACGTGGACGGATCCGCCTTCGAGCCGGGACGGCGCCCCCGGGACCCGCCCCAGGAGCCCCCCCAGGAGCCCCCCAGGTACCCAAAATTCCCGAAATTCCCAAAAATCCCGAAAAAACCCAAAAATCCCGGAATTCCCAAAAAATCCCCGCAAAAAAAGCCAAAAATCCCTGAAAAAATCCGGTTAAAATGGTAAAAAATGACCCAAAATTCCCTCCGGGAGCTGCTTCAGGAGCCCCCCAGGTACCCAAAAATTCCCCAAATTACCAAAATTCCCGAAAATCCTGAAAATCCCGGAATTCCCATTAAAATCCCATTTTAAAAAAACAAAAATTCCGGAAAAAATCCCGTTAAAATTGTCAAAATTGACCCAAAATCCGCCCAAAAATCCACCCCAAAAATCCACCCAAAAATTCCCCCCAGGTACCCAAAAATTCCCGAAATTCCCAAAAATCCTGGAAATCCCCAAAAATCCACATTAAGAAAACCAAAAATCCCTGAAAAAATCACGTTAAAATGGTCAAAATTGGCTCAAAATCCGCCGCAAAATCCTCCCCCGGGACCCCCCCCAGGAGCCCCCCCAGGAGCCCCCCAGGTACCCAAAATTCCCAAAATTCCCGAAATTCCCGAAAATCCCGGAATTCCCAAAAAATCCCCGTAAAAAAACCAAAAATTCCGGAAAAAATCCCGTTAAAATCGTCAAAATTGGCTCAAAATCCGCCCCAAAATCCACCCATAAATTCCCCCCCCAGGAGCCCCCCCAGGAGCCCCCCAGGTACCCCAAAAATTCCCAAAATTCCCGAAATTCCCGAAAATCTCGGAATTCCGAAAAAAATCCCCGTAAAAAAACCAAAAATCCCTAAAAAAATCCCGTTGAAATGGTCAAAATTGACCCCAAATCCGCCCCAAAATCTTCCCCTGGGACCCCACCCAGGAGCCCCCCCAGGAGCCCCCCAGGTACCTAAAATTCCCGAAATTCCCGAAATTCCCGAAAATCCCGGAATTCCCAAAAAATCCCTGTAAAAAACCCAAAAATCCCGGAAAAAATCCCGTTAAAATGGTCAAAATTGACTTAAAATCCACCCAAAAATTCCCCCCCAGGAGCCCCCCCAGGAGCCCCCCAGGTACCCAAAAATTCCCGAAATTCCCGAAATTCCCGAAAAATCCCGGAATTCCCAAAAAATCCCCGTAAAAAACCCCAAAAAATCCTGAAAAAATCGCGTTAAAATGGTCAAAATTGACCCAAAATCCACCCCAAAATACACCCCAAATTTCCCCCCTCAGGAGCCCCCCAGGAGCCCCCCAGGTACCCAAAAATTCCCAAAATTCCCGAAATTCCCGAAAATCCCAGAATTCCGAAAAAATCCCTGTAAAAAAAACAAAAATTCCTGGAAAAATCCTGTTAAAATGGTCAAAATTGACCCAAAATCCACCCAAAAATCTCCCCCAGGAGCCCCCCCAGGTACCCCGAAATTCCCGAAATTCCCAAAATTCCCGAAAATCCCGGAATTCCCAAAAAATCCCCGTAAAAAAACCAAAAAATTCCGGAAAAAATCTTGTTAAAATGGTCAAAATTGACCCAAAATCCGCCTCAAAATCCAACCCCGGGATCCCCCCAGGAGCCCCCCCAGGAGCCCCCCAGGTACCCCAAAATTCCCGAAATTCCTAAAATTCCCAAAAAACCCCAAAAATCCCTCAAAAAAATCCTGAAAATTCCCAAAAAACCCAAAAATCCCCCCCAAAAAATCCTGAAAATTCCCAAAAAAAATCCTATAAAAATCCCATTAAAATCATCAAAATTACCCACAAAAAAACCCCAAATCCCCCAAAATTCCCCCAAATTCCACCCAAAATCCCCCCAAAACCCAAAAATTCCCCAAAAATCCCCAAATCCCCTAAAACTTCCTCCAGAATCCCCCAAAAATTACCGCAAATCCGCCAAAAATCCCGAAAATCCCCCAAATCTCCCACAAATTTTCCCAAGATCCCCCAAAATCCTTTCAGTTCTTCCATAATCTCACCAAAATCCCCCAAACCCCCCCAAAATCCCCAAATATCCCCAAAAAATACCCAAAATCGCCAAATAACCCCAAAAATCCCCCAAATTTTCCGAAAAAATCTCCCAAACCCCTCCCAAAATCCCCAAATACCCCCAAAAATCCCCCAAAATCCCTAAATTCCCCCAAAATCCTCTCATATCTTCCAAAATCTCCCCAAAATCCCCAAACCCGCCCCCAAAATTCCCCAAAAATCCCCCAAATTTTCCCAAAAATCTCCCAAAATCCCCCCAGATTGCCCCTAAATCCCCCCAAAATCCCCAAATATCCCTAAAAATCCTCCCCAAATCTCCCAAAATCCTCTCAATTCTTTCAAAATCTCCCCGAAATCCCCCAAACCCCCCAAAATCCCCAAATTTCCCCAAATTTCCCCCAGCGCTCCCCCGGAGCCGTCCAGCTCCCGCTCGCCGTCCCCGAAGCAGAAGAAGAAGAAGAAGAAGAAGGATCGGGGCAGGTGAGGGGAAATTTGGGGAATTTTGGAGATTTTTGGGGAATTTTGAGGGGTTTAGAGTAAATTTGGAGGATTTTGGGGGATTTAAGGGATTTTTGGAGGATTTTAAAGCAGAAGGAGAAGAAGGATCGGGGCAGGTGAGGGGAAATTTCAGGGGGTTTTTGGGTGCAATTTTGGGAATTTCTGGGGTTTTCTTGGGTGCAATTTTGGGATATTTTTGGGTGCAATTTTGGGAATTTTTGGGTGGAATTTTGGGAATTTCTGGGTGGTTTTTTGGGGTGGAATTTTGGGAATTTCAGGGTTTTTTTTTCGTGCAATTTCGGGGAATTTTTGGGTGGAATTTTGGGACTTTTGGTGGCATTTTGGGTGTAATTTTGGGGAATTTTTAGATGGAATTTTGGGAATGTCTGGGGTTATTTTGGGTGCAATCTTGGGGAATTTTTAAGGTGGAATTTTGGGAATTTTTGGGTGGAATTCTGAAAATTTCTGTGGTTTTTTGGGTTGGAATTTTGGAAATTTCAGGGGTGGTTTTTTTGGTGCAATTTTAGGGAATTTTTGGATGGAATTCTGGGAATTTCCAGGTGGATTTCTAGGGTAGAATTTTGGGAATATTCAGGTGGAATTTTGGGGAATTTTTGGGTTGAATTCTGGGAATTTCCGAGTGGTTTTTTGGGGTGGAATTTTGGGAATTTCAGGGATTTTTTGGGTGGGATTCTGGGAATTCCCGAAGAGATTTTTGGGGTTGGAATTTTTGGAATATTCGTGTGGAATTTTGGGAATTTTTGGGTGGAATTCTGGGAATTTCTGGGTGGTTTTTTGGGGTGAAATTTTGGGCATTTCAGGGTTTTTTTGGGTGGAATTCTGGGAATTTCCGTGTGGATTTTTGGGGTGGAATTTTGAGAATATTCGTGTGGAATTTTGGGAATTTTTGGGTGGAATTCTGGGAATTTCTGGGTGGATTTTTGGGGTGGAATTTTGAGAATATTCAGGTGGAATTTTGTGAATTTTTGGGTGGAATTTTGAGGATTTCAGGGGTTTTTTTGGGTGGAAATTTGGGAATTTTTTGGGTTTTTCGGGCGGAATTTCGGGGAATTTCTGGGTGGATTTTTAAGGTGGAATTTTGGGAATATTCGGGTGGAATTGTGGTAATTTTGGGGTGTAATTTTGAGACTTTAAGGGTTTTTTGGGTTGGAATTTTGGGAATTTTTTGGGTTTTTCAGGCGGAATTTTCGGGTGGGATTTTCGAGCGGAATTTTCGTGAATTTTGGCGAATTTTCGGGAATTTTGGGTTTTTTCCCCCCATTCCCTCCCCCCCCCCCCCAGGTCCGCCAGCCGCTCCGGGGAGAGGAAGAAGAGCAAGAAGAAGAAGCACAGGTGAGAAAAGGGGGCGTGGCCTCACCTGCAAAGGGGCGTGGCCACAAATAACCAATGGGCGTGACCACAAATAACAAATGGGCGTGTCCACGACCACCAAAGGGGCGTGGCCACCCTAAGCCCCGCCCATTCCCCTCCCCCCAGGTCCGAATCTGAGGCCAAGAAGCGAAAGCACCGGTAAGGACGGGGTGGGGGAGGGGCGGTGGGCGTGGCCCCTCGGTGGGCGTGGCCCGTCGGTGGGCGTGGCCTCATTGATGACGTCATCGCCCCTCCCCCAGCTCGCCCAGCCCCAAGGCCAAGCACAAGGCCAAGGAGAAGAAGCGCAAAAGGTAAACCCCGCCCCCTTTTTAAACCCCGCCCCCTTTTAAAGCCCCTCCCCCCCTTTTAAGCCCCTCCCCCCTTTTTAAGCCCCTCCCCCATTTTTAGCCCCTCCCCCACTGACCATTTTGGCCCCGCCCCCACAGATCCACCAGCCAATCGCAGAAGCCGGAGCGCTCTTCCTCCCCGGCCGGCTCCTCCTCCTCCTCGGGCTCCTCCCGCAGCAGGTAAAAAAACCCTCAAAAAACACCCAAAATCACCCAAAAAACCCCAAAAATCGCCCCTCCCCCACCGGCCGGCGCCCCCGCAGGTCCCGCAGCGCCGCGGCCCCGACCCCGACCCCGACCCCGGCGCAGCGCCGCACGGAAGAGGATCCGGCGCCGCCGCCGCCGCCGCCTTCGGCCTCACCTGCCGCCGCCGCCCCTCCCCCGCCGCAGGTGAGCGCCGGGGGCGGGGCCTGGGGGAGGGGGCGTGGCCAGGGGGTGGGGGAGGGGCGGAGTTTCACCCACACTGACCCCTCCCCCCAAATATTTCGGCAGGAGCCGCAGCCGGAGCCGCTCGCGCCGCCCTCGCCGGCGCCGTCCCCCGGCGTCGCCGCGGAGCCGCCGCCCGTGAGCCCCTCCCCCTCCCCGTCCCCCTCCCCTCCCCCACCCCCGAAACGCGCCGCCCCTCCCCCCTCCTCATCCTCATCGCGGCGATCGCGGTCACGGTCCCGATCCCGTTCGCGCTCCCGTCGCCGCGGCGGCACCGGCACAACCGCGAGGAGCTCCCGGCGCCGCTCCCGCTCCCGGCGCCGCTCCCGCTCCCGGCGCCGCCGCTCCCGCTCCCGCACGCCGCTCTGGACGCCCAATGCCGCCTCGCCGCCGCGCTGGCCCGGCGCCGCCTTCGCCGCCACGCCGCTGACGCTGCCCAACAGCATCCCCACCTCCGGCAGCGCCGTCGCCGCCGCCGCCGCCGCGCGCTCGCGCAGCCGGTCACGCACCCGCCGGCGCTCACGGTCGCGGAGACGGTCGCGGTCGCGGCGGTGGGGACGGTCGCGGAGCCGGTCGCGGTCACGGCGCCGATCCCGTTCAATAATCCGCCGATCGCGGTCACCGATTCGCCGATCGCGGTCACCGATTCGAAGATCGCGGTCACCGATTCGCCGATCGCGGTCACCGATCCGAAGATCGCGGTCACCGATCCGCCGATCGCGTTCTCGGCGCCGTTCGCGCTCCCGGCGTCGCTCTCGGTCGCGGCGTCGTTCCCGGTCTCGCCGCCGCTCTCGGTCCTTGTCGCCGTCCCCCGACCGCCGCCGCCGCCGCCGCGCCGCGCGCCGCAGCCGCTCCGACTCCTCCGGCAAGTCCCGGCACGGCGGCGCCCGCCGGAGCCGCTCGCTGAGCTCGCCGATGCCCAAAAAGCGCCAACGATCCCGTTCGGCGACGCCGCGGCGACGCCGCGACCGCAGCGACTCCCCCTCCCCCGCCCCGGCGCGAAGGTTGTCACCGTCACCGCCGACGCCGGCCACCGGCGCCAACGCCACCAAATTGCCGTCGCCCGGCCCCGGGCGGCCCAAGTGGGTCCCGCTGGCGGAGCTGCACCCGCCCCGCGGCGCGGCGGTGACGGCAACGCCGGCGACAACCGCGGCGTCCAAGTGGGTGCCCATTGGAGGGGCACAACCGGCACCGCCCGGCACCGAGAGCGGCAAAACCGCGACCGAAACGGCACCGGCGGGTGAGGAGAAACCGGATTTGGCGCCGGTGACGTCGCCGGGAGCCGCCAAATCAACACCAACACCGGTGGTGGTCAAACCAACAGTTGGTGATGCCAAACCGACAATCGGTGACGCCAAACCGGCAATCGGTGACGCCAAACCGGCAGTTGGTGACGCCAAACCGGGTGTCACCGAGGTGAAAACGCCCAATGGTGAGGTCAAACCGCCGCCGGCACCGTCAATCGTCACCGCGGCGCCGAGCGTGGCCAAATTGGACGTTCCGCCTTCATCGCCGGCGAAAACGGCGTCACCGAACGTCACCAAACCACCTGACACCAAACCGGTGATGGAACCGCCCAAAGCGTCGCCAACCACCAAAATTGACCCCAAACGTCCCCCACCGCCGCCGCCGCCGGGGTTACCGCGGGTTTTGGCGCGTTCTCCCAACCCAACCGGCGTCACCGCGGCGGCGTCGGGCGCGTCGCTGCTGCCGGCGGCGCGGCTCAGCCTCCCGTCCTCGCCCGTGGCGGCCTCGGCGCTGCCGCCGCTGCTGCCGGGGGCGTTGGGCGCCAAATCGGCCTCGGCGCGGTTGGGCGGCGCCAAAAGCGGCGGCGGCGACGCCAAAACGATCACCGGGGGTGTCGTCAGCCCGTTGGGCGCCGCCATCCTGCGCGCCAGCGCCGACAACGCCGCCAAGGCCTCCGCCATGGCCCGCGCCACCGGGGCCACCAGTATCACCAGTATGACCAGTAAGGGCACCGCTGGGACCAGTTTGGGCGGCGGCATCGGCGCTAAAACGGCGGCGACCGGTTTGACCAGTATGACCAGTTTGACCAGTTTGAGCAGTGCGGGCAGGGTCGGTGCTGGGAGTGTCCCCAAGGCCGCCGGTGGGACCAGTCCGGGTGTCACCAGTATGACCAGTTTGGGCGGTGCTGCGGCGACCAGTACGACCAGTATGACCAGTTTGAGCAGTTCTGCAGGGACCAGTACAACCAGTTTGAGCAGTGCTGCGGCTCCCAGTATGACCAGTTTGATGAGTTCTTCGGCTCCCAGTGTCACCAGTATGACCAGTACAACCAGTTTGAGCAGTTCTTCGGCTCCTAGTACGACCAGTTTGACCGGTTCTGCAGCTCCCAGTGTCACCAGTATGACCAGTTCTGCAAGTCCCAGTACAACCAGTTTGAGCGGTGCTGTGGCTCCCAGTACAACCAGTACAACCAGCTTGACAAGTGCAGTGGCTCCCAGCCTCACCAGTACAACCAGTACGACCAGTTTGACCGGTTCTTCTGCTCCCAGTGTCACCAGTTTGACCAGTCTGACCAGTTCTGCAGCTCCCAGTGCTCCCAGTATGACCAGTTTGAGCGGTGCTGCAGCTGTCAGTGTCACCAGTTTGAGCAGTGCGGTGGCTCCCAGTGTCACCAGTACAACCAGTTTGAGCAGTGCCACGGCTGCCAGCATCACCAGTACAACCAGTTTGACCAGTTCTGCAGCTCCCAGTGTCACCAGTTTGAGCGGTGCCATGGCTCCCAGTGTCACCAGTACAACCAGTACGAGTTTGACCAGATCTGCGGCTCCCAGTACAACCAGTTTGAGCAGTGCTGCGGTTCCCAGTGTCACCAGTGCCTCTGTTGTCAGTGCCACCAGAACAACCAGTGTCACCAGTACGACCAGTCTGACCAGTTCTGCAACTCCCAGTGTCATCAGTGTCACCAGTACAACCAGTACAACCAGTTTGAGCAGTGCTGTGGCTCCCAGAGTCACCAGTATGACCAGTGCTGCAACTCCCAGTGTCACCAGTATGACCAGTGGTACCAGTTTGGCTCCCAGTGCTCCCAGTGTCACCAGTATGGGCACACCAGCGGCTCCCAGTGCTCCCAGTATCAGCGTGGCTGCAGCTCCCAGTACTCCCAGTGCTCCCAGTGTCACCAGTACGGGCACAGCAGCAGCTTCCAGTGTCACCAGTGCTCCCAGTATCAATGTGGCAGCAGCTCCCAGTGCTCCCAGTAGCACCAGTGTCAGCAGTACCATCACAGCAGCGGCTCCCAGTGTCACCAGTGCTGCACCTCAGGGCGTTCCCAGTGCTCCCAGTAGCACCAGTACTGTCGTGGCTGCGTCACCCCGGGCTCCCAGTGCTCCCAGCGCTCCCAGTATCACCAGTACCAGCTTAACCAGTGCTCCCAGTATCACCAGTACCATCCTGGCTGCAGCTCCCAGTATGACCAGTGCTGTACCTCGCAGCATTCCCAGTGCTCCCAGTGCTCCCAGTACTGGCACACCAACTGCTCCCAGTGCTCCCAGTATGACGAGTGCTGCACCTCACGGCGTTCCCAGTGCTCCCAGTGCTCCCAGCACCACCATTGCTGTGCTCAAGAGCGCTCCCAGTTCTCCCAGTATCACCAGTGCGGGAACACCAGCGGCTCCCAGTGCTCCCAGTGCTCCCAGAATCAGCATGGAGGTGACTCCCAGTGCTCCCAGTACCACCAGTGCTGCACCTCAGAGCACTCCCAGTGCTCCCAGCATGACCAGTACCACCATGACTGCAGCTCCCAGTGCTCCCAGTATCACCAGTACGGGCACACCAGCGGCTCCCAGTGCTCCCAGTGCTCCCAGTACCACTCTGGCAGCGGCTCCCAGTGCTCCCAGTATCACCAGTGCTGCACCTCAGAGGATTCCCAGTGCTCCCAGTATGACCAGTACCACCATGACTGCGGCTCCCAGTGCTCAGAGTGCTCCCAGTGCTCCCAGTACCACCCTCGCAGCGGCTCCCAGTGCTCCCAGTATGACCGTGGCAGCGGCTCCCAGTGCTCCCAGTACCACCAGTACCATCATGGCAGCTGCTCCCAGTGCTCCCAGTGCTCCCAGTATCACCAGTACCACCATGACTACGGCTCCCAGTGCTCCCAGCGCTCCCAGTGTCACCAGTATGGGCACACCAGCGGCTCCCAGTGCTCCCAGTATCAGCGTGGAGGCGGCTCCCAGTGCTCCCAGTATGACCAGTACAGGAACACCAGCGGCTCCCAGTGCTCCCAGTGCTCCCAGTGCTCCCAGTATCAGCGTGGAAGCGGCTCCCAGTGCTCCCAGTGCTCCCAGTATCACCAGTAGTGGCACACCATTGGCTCCCAGTGCTCCCAGTATGACCAGTACAGGAACACCAGTGGCTCCCAGTGCTCCCAGTATCACCGTGGAAGTGGCTCCCAGTGCTCCCAGCGCTCCCAGTGCTCCCAGTATGACCAGTACAGGCACACCAGTGGCTCCCAGCGCTCCCAGTGCTCCCAGTGCTCCCAGTGCCCCCAGCGCGCCGCCGGCCGCCGGCCCCAAGGGCAGCTCCTCATCTTCATCCTCCTCCTCCTCCTCTTCCTCCTCCTCCTCCTCCTCCTCCTCGAGCGACTCCGACTCCGACTCCAGTTCCAGCTCTTCCGACTCCGCCCCGCCCTCGCCGGCCCCGCCCACCGGGTGAGACCACGCCCCTTTTCTGGTTAACCACGCCCCTTTCCCTGTTTAACCCCGCCCACCGGGTGAGGACACGCCCACTGCGGCTCCTGATTGGGCAATGCTGAGCCCCGCCCGTTGTCAATTTAGCCACGCCCATTTCTGTTAGGCCACGCCCCTTTTAATCCAAACCACGCCCACCCATTAAAGCCACGCCCCCTTTATAGGTATAAGGGGGTCCCAGTGTCCCCAAGGGTCCCTTAATTGGGGTCACTTTGTCCCCAGGGTGCCACCCAGCCCTGTCCCAGTGTCCCCAAGGGTGTCCCAATGTCCTCAGGGTGCCACCAAACCTCGTCCCAGTGTCCCTGAGGGTGTCCCAATGTCCCCAAGGGTCCCCTAATTTGGGTCCCAGTGTCCCCAAGGTGTCCCCAACCCCTGTCCCAGTGTCCCCAGGGGTGTCCCAGTGTCCCCAAGGTGCCACCAAACCCTGTCCCAGTGTCCCCAAGGTGCCACCCACCCCTGCCCAGTGTCCTTGAAGGTGTCCTTGGTGTCCCGAAGTGTCCCTTGAGTTGGGTCTCAGTGTCCTCAGGGTGTCCCCAACCCCCATCCCAGTGTCTCCAAGGGTGTCCCAGTGTCCCCAAGGGTCCCCTAATTTGGGTCTCAGTGTCCCCAGGGTGTCACAAACCCCTGTGCCACATCCCCGAGGGTGTCCCAGTGTCCCCAGGTGTCCCCTAATATGGGTCTCAGTGTCCCCAAGGTGTCATCAGCCCCTGTCCCACATCCCTGAGGGTGTCCCAATGTCCCTAAGGTGCACCCAAACCATGTCCCTGTGTCCCCAAGGTGTCCCCAACCCCCGTCCCCTGTCCCCGAGAGTGTCCCAGTGTCCCCAGGGGTCCCCTAATTTGGGTCCTGTGTCCCCAAGGTGTCCCCAACCCCTTCCCAGCATCCCCAAGGGTGTCCCAGTGTCCCCGAGGGTCCCCTAATTTGGGTCTCAGTGTCCCCAGGGTGTCCCCAACCCCCATCCCCTGTCCCTGAGGGTGTCTCAGTGTCCCCAAGGTGCCACCAAACCCTGTCCCAGTGTCCCCAAGGTGCCACCAAACCTCGTCCCAGTGTCCCTGAGGGTGTCCCAGTGTCCCCAGGGTGCCACCAACCCCTGCCCCAGTTTCCCCAGGGGTGTCCCAGTGTCCCCAAGGGTCCCTTAATTGGGGTCACTTTGTCCCCAAGGTGCCACCAGCTCCTGTCCCAGTGTCCTCGAGGGTGTCCCAGTGTCCCCGAAGTGCCACCAACCCCTGCCCACTGTCCCTAAGGGTGTCCCAATGTCCCCAAGGGTCCCTTAATTGGGGTCCCAGTGTCCCCAAGGTGTCACCCACCCCTGTCCCCTGTCCCTGAGGGTGTCCCAGTGTCCCCAAGTGTCCCTTTAATTGGGGTCACTTTGTAGCCAAGGTGTCACCAACCCCTGTCCCACATCCCCGAGGGTGTCCCAGTGTCCCCAAGGTGCCACCAAACCCCTGCCCAGTGTCCCCAAGGTACCATCAAACCTCATCCCAGTGTCCCTGAGGGTATCCCAGTGTCCCCAAGGTGCCACCAACCCCTGCCCAGTGTCCCTGAGGATGTCCCAATGTCCCCAAGGTTCCACCCACCCCTTCCTGGTGTCCCCAAGGGTCCCCTAATTTGGGTCATGTGTCCCCAGGGTGTCACCCACCCATGTGCCACGTCCCTGAGGATGTCCCAGTGTCCCCAAGGTGCCACCAAACCTCATCCCAATGTCCCCAGGGTGTCACCCACCCCATCCCAATGTCCCCAAGGTGTCCCCAGCCCCTCCCCCCTCTAACCCCTCTCTCCCCGCAGGTCCCCGAGCGCCGCCGCCGCCGCTGCCATCGTCACCGCGGCCACCGGGACCACCGGCCCGTCCCCACCCGAGGGTGCTGCCCCACCCGAGGGCGCCGCCATCGCCGCCACCGTCACCGGTGTCACCGTGCCCGTCCCCCGGCGCAAACGGCGCCGCTCTTCCTCCTCCTCCTCCTCCTCCTCCTCCTCATCCTCCTCCTCCTCCTCCAGCTCCTCCTCCTCCTCCTCTTCCTCCTCCTCTTCCTCCTCTTCCTCCTCCTCCTCTTCTTCCTCCTCCTCTTCCTCCTCTTCCTCCTCCTCCTCCTCCTCCGAGGCCCCGCCCCAAGCCACGCCCCAAACCGAAGCCACGCCCCTTTCCGAGGCCCCTCCCACTTCTGCTGTCCCCGCCCCCTCCTCCACAGCCACGCCCACCCAAACCACGCCCACTTCCACCCAAACCACGCCCACCACATCAGCCACGCCCACTTCTGCCCAAGCCACGCCCACTTCCAGCCAAGCCACGCCCCTCCTGTCACTCAAACCCGCGGCGGTGGGCGGAGCCTCGGCCATGCCCCGCCCCCCCGGCTCGCTGCTGTCACTCACGCCCGCTGGGGGGCGTGGCCTGCGCCCCTCGCCCCGCCCCCCCGGCTCCCTGCTCTCATTGGCCGCCGCCGAGCGGGGCGTGGCGGGGCGTGGCGGAGGCCCCTTCCCCCTATTGGCCGCCCGCAGCCCAGGCTCCGCCTCCTTCCAGCGGGCGGCCACGCCCTTCCTGGCCACGCCCACGCGCGGGGGGTGGAGCCCGCGCTCCCCCTCCTCCCCCTTCCTGCGGGGGGGCGTGGCCGGGGGGGCGTGGCCTCGGCTGGGCGGGGGCGGGGCCTGCCTGCACCGTTTCCACGGCAACCTGGGGGCGGGGCTGGGCTGCTCCGCCCGCCTGGGGGGCGGGGCTTGCATGCACCGTTTCCACGGCAACGTGGGCGTGGCCTCGGCGGCGGCGGCCAATCGCGTCAGCCCCTGCGGCCACCGCGGGTGCTGCTACCACGGAAGGGGCGGGGCTTCGCTGTCGGGGGGCGGGGCCACGCCCAGAAGCCCCTCCCCCTTCGCCATGACGCCCAGCATGGCCGCCCGCATGGCCCAGTACGGCTCCAGCTCCTCCCAGTACTCCCAGTACGGCTCCTCCCCCTCCCAGTACAGCCCCGCCTCCTCCCAGTACAGCCCCGCCTCCTCCTCCCAGTACTCCCAGTACCAGTACCAGTACGCCCAGCTGGCCTCCCAGTACTCCCAGTACTCCCAGTACGGCGCCGACGGCTCCCAGTACGGCGCCGGCGACGGCTCCCAGTACGCCCAGTACGCCGCCAGCGCCGCCCAGTACGCCGCCTCGGGCGCCGGCGCCGCCGCCAACGCCGCCGCCAGTGCTGCCAGTGCCGGGAGCGGCGCCGCCGACGCCGCCCAGTACGCGGCGGCAACTGGGAACCAGTACGGGGCCGGCGCGGGGGGAGGGGCGGCGGGAACGGCCGCGGGGGGAGGGGCGGGAACGGCGGGAACGGCGGCCTGGGGGGGGGAGGGGGGGACGCAGGAGGGGTGGGGGGGCAGTGGGGGAGGGGTGAGTTGGGGGAACTGGGTCAGCCCCGCCCAGTGAGGGGGGAGGGGGGGCTGAGAGAATTTGGGGGTTTTGAGCCGAATTTGGAAAATTTTAAAATTTTGGGGGGTACTGAGCCAAATCCAGGAGGTTCTGACCCAAAATTAAGGAATTTTAAGGAGATTTTGGGGGTTCTGACCCAAACTTGTGGAATTTTAAGGAGGTTTTGGGGGTTCTGAGCAAAATCCGGGAGGTTCTGACCTAAATTTGGGGTTTGGAGGAGGTTTTGGGGGTTCTGACCCAAATTTTAGGGGTTTGGACCCAAAATCCGGGAGGTTCCGATTCAGATCTGGGGGTTCTGACCCAAATTTTGGGAATTTTAAGGAGATTTTGGGGGTTCTGACCGAAATTTGGGGGTTGAAGGAGGTTTGGGGGGTTCTGTCCCAAATCCAGGAGGTTCTGACCCAATTTGGGGGATTTTAAGGAGATTTTGGGGGTTCTGACCTAAATTCAGGAGGTTCTCACCCAAATTTCGGGTTTGGAAGAGATTTTCGGGGGTTCTGACCTAAATCCAGGAGGTTCTGACCCAAAATTAGGGAATTTTAAGGAGATTTGGGGGGTTCTGTCCCAAATCCAGGAGGTTCTGACCCAAATTTGGGGATTTTAAGGAGATTTGGGGGGTTCTGACCCAAAATTGGGGAATTTTAAGGAGGTTTTAGGAGTTCTGACCCAAATTTGGGGTTTGGAGGAGGTTTGGGGGGTTGCACCCAAAATTGGGGAATTTTAAGGAAGTTCTGAAGGTTCTGTCCCAAGTTTGGGGGTTCTGACCCAAAATTGGGGAGTTTTAGGAGGTTTTGGAGGGTTCTGACCCAAATTCAGGAGGTTCTGACCCAAATTTGGGGTTTGGAGGAGATTTTCCGGGGTTCTGACCCAGATTTGGGGAATTTTGAGGAGGTTTTGGGGGTTCTGTCCCAAATCCAGGAGGTTCTGACCCAAATTTGGGGGCTTTGGACCCAAAATTCGGGAGGTTATGATCCAGATCTGGGGGTTCCGACCCAAAATTGGGGTTTGAAGGAGATTTTAGGAGTTCTGACCCAAATTTGGGGTTTGGAGGAGATTTTGGGGGTTTTGGAGGAGATTTATGGGGGTTCTGACCCAAATTTGGGGTTTGGAGGAGGTTTGGGGGGTTGCACCCAAATTTGGGGAATTTTAAAGAGGTTTTGGAAGGTTCTGTCCGAAATCCGGGAGGTTCTGACCCAAATTTGGGGGATTTTAAAATTTTGGGGGGTTCTGACCCAATTCCGGGAGGTTCTGATCCAAAATTAGGGAATATTTAGGAGATTTGGGGGGGTTCTGACCCAAATCCAGGAGGTTCTGACCCAAAATTGGGGAATTTTAAGGAGATTTTGGGGGTTCTGACCCAGATTTTGGGGGTTTGGAGGAAGTTTTGGGGGGTTCTGACCCAAATTTGGGGTTTGGAGGTGGATTTGGGGGGTTCTTACCCAAAATTCAGGAGGTTCCGATTCAGATCTGGGGGGTTCTGACTCAAAATTAGGGAATTTTAAGGAGATTTGGGGGGTTTTGACCCAAATTTGGGGTTTGGAGGAGATTTTCGGGGTTCTGAGCCAAATTTGGGGAGTTTTAAGGAGATTTTGGGGCTTCTGTCCCAAATCCGGGAGGTTCTGACCCAAAATTGAGGAATTTTAAGGAGTTTTGGGGGTTCTGACCCAAATCTGGGGGGATTTGACCCGGAATTTGAGGAATTTTAAGGTTTGTACCTAAATTTTGGGGCTTTGGCCCCAAATTTGGGAGATTTTAAGGAGATTTTGGGAGAGTTTGGACCCAATTTTGGAGGGTTTGGACCCAAAATATGGGGGTTGGACCTAAAATTCAGGGGTTTGGACCCAAATTTGGGGGATTTTATGGAGGTTTTTGGGCATTTAGACCCGAATTTGTGAGGTTTGGACCCAAAATTTGGGGTTCTGACCCAAATCTTGAAGGTTTTTACCCAAATTTGGGGTTTGTAAGGATGTATTGGGGGGTTTGGACCCAAATCCAGGGAGTTGGGACCCAAAATTGGGGGATTTTAAGGAGGTTTTGGGGGGTTGGACCCAAATTTAAGGGATTTTAAGGAGAATTTGGGGGGGTTGGACCCAAAATTGGGAGTTTTGGACCCAAAATAGGGGGCTTGGACCCAAAATTCGGAGGTTTGGACCCAAATTTGGGGGATTTTAAGGAGGTTTTGGGGGGTTTGGACCTAAAATTGGGGGCTTTGGACCGAAAATGTTGAGGTTTGGACCCAAAATTGGGGGATTTAAAGGATGTTTTGGGGTTGGACCCAAATTTCGGGGATTTTAAGGAGGTTTTGGGGTTTTCGACCCGAATTTGGGAGATTTTAAAGAAGTTTGGGAAATCTTAATCAAATTTGGGTGATTTTAAAAGGTTTTGGGGGGTTTGGACCCAAAATTGGGGGTTCTGAATGAAATTTGGGGGTTTGGACTCAATATTGGGGGATTTTAAGGAGGTTTGGGGGTTCTAATCCAAAATTGGGGAATTTTAAGGAGATTTTGGGAAATTTTAATCAAATCTGGGTGATTTTAAAAGGTTTTGGGGGGTTTGTTCCCAAATTTTGGGGTTTCGGACCCGAAATTTGGGGGTTCAGCAGAAAATTGGGGTTTTTTAGCCCCGAATTTGGGGGATTTAGCCCCAAAGCCGCGGGGGCGGAGCCTCGCGGGGGGCGTGGCCATGGCTGAAGCCCCGCCCTCAACGGAGGTGGAGTCAGCGCCGGCACTTCCGGGTTAAGCCCCTCCCTCCCTGCACGTGATTGGCGGAGGTGAGAGACGGGGGCGGGGCCTGGGAAAGGGGCGGGGCCAAGGGGGCGGGAAATCGGAATTTTGGGGTGGATTTTAAGGTGGAAATTCCCTTTTTTTTTGGGTGAACTTTGGGGTAAAATTTCCCATTTTTTGGGTGGACTTAAAGGTGAAAATTCCCACTTTTTGGGGTGGATTTTGGGGTTAAAATTGGGAATTTTGAGGTTAAATTTTGGAATTTTACGGTGGACTTTGGGGTTGGAATTTGGAATTTTTTTGGGGGTAAAAGTCGGAATTCGGGGCGGACTTTGGGGTTAAAAATTCCCATTTTTGGGGAGGGTTTTGGGGTCGGAATTTGGAATTTTCGGGTGGATTTTGGGGTTAAAAGTTTGGAATTTTTGAGGTTAAAATGTGAAGTTTTGGGATGGATTTGAATGAGGAAATTCTCAGTTTTGGGGTGAAAATTGCCTTTTTTGGGGTGGATTTTAAGGTGGGGTTTGGGGTGAAAATTCCCATTTTCGGGGTAAAAATTCCCACTTTTTTAGACTTAAAATTCCCATTTTTCCTGTGGATTTTGGGGTGAAAATTCCCCAGTTTGGGGCAGTTTTTAGAGTTAAAATTCCCACTTTTAGGGTAAAAATTGCTTATTTTGGGGTGGATTTTGGGGTAAAAAATTGGTATTTTTGGGGTAAAAATTGCCAGTTTCAGGGTGGATTTTGGGGGTTAAAATTTGGGATTTTGGGGTGGATTTTGGGGTGAAAACGGCCAATTTTGGGGTGGTTTTTAGAGGTAAAATTCCCAGTCCTGGGGGAGGATTTTGGGGTAAAAATTGTCTATTTTGGGGTAAAAAAGGCCGATTTTGGGGTGAAAGAGGGGTGAAAATTGTTGATTTTGTGGTGGATTTTAGGGTGAAAATTGTCTATTTTTGGGTGAAAATTGCCGGTTTTGGGGTGGATTTTGGGGTGAAAACGGCCGCTTTTGGAGCAGATTTTTGGGTGAAAATTGTCTATTTTGGGGTGAAAATTTCCTGATTTTGGGATGCATTTTGGGGTGAAAACGGCCAATTTTGGGTTGGATTTTGGGGTTAAAATGGCCGATTTTGGGGTGAAAATTGCCAATTTTGGGATGCATTTTGGGGTGAAAATTGTCTATTTTGGGGCAGATTTTGGGGTGAAAATTGTCTTTTTGGGTGAAAACGGCCAATTTTGCGGTGGAGTTTGGGGTAAAAATCGCTGATTTTGGGGTAAAAATTGCTGATTTTGGGGTGGATTTTGGGGTTAAAATTGTCTATTTTGGGGTGGAATTTGGGGTAAAAATGTCCGGTTGAGTAGTGGATTTTGGGGTAAAAACCACCGATTTTGGGGTGAAAATTGCCCATTTTGGGGGTGGTTTTTGGGGCTGAAAATGCCCAGTTTGGGGGTGGTTTTTGGGGTGAAAACGGACAATTTTGGGGTGGATTTTAGAGCACAATTTGGGGTGAAAACGGCTGATTTTGGGATGGATTTTTGGGTGAAAATTTCCCATTTCGGGGTGGATTTTGGGGTGAAAATTGTCTATTTTGGGGTGAAAATTCCCGGTTTTGGGTGGATTTTGGGGTGAAAACTGCCCATTTTGGGGTGGATTTGGGGTTTAAAATTCCCAGTTTTTGGGTGGTTTTTGGGGTGAAAATTCCCAGTTTTGGGGGTGGATTTTGGGGTGAAAAACGCCGATTTTGGGGCGGATTTTAGGGCACAATTTGGGGTGAAAACGGACGATTTTGGGGTGAAAATGGGCAATTCTGGGTTGGATTTTGGGGTGAAAATTGGTTTTTTTGGGGTGAAAATTGCCCATTTTGAGGTGGATTTGGGGTTGAAAATTCCCAATTTTGGGGTGGTTTTTGGGGATAAAATTCCCACTTTGGGGGTGGATTTTGGGGTTAAAAACGCCAATTTTGGGGCGGATTTTAGGGCACAGTTTGGGCTGGAAAGGCCCCATTTGGGGGTGGATTTTGGGGCTGAAAATGCCCAGTTTGGGGGGGGATTTTGGGGTGAAAACGGACAATTTTGGGGTGGATTTTTGGGTGAAAATTGTCTATTTTGGGGTGAAAATTGCTGATTTTGGGGTGGTTTTTGGGGTGAAAATTCCCATTTTCAGGTGGTTTTTGGGGTGAAAATTCCCAGTTTGGGGGTGGATTTTGGGGCGAAAAACGCCGATTTTGAAGCGGATTTTAGGGCACAATTTGGGGTGAAAACGGCCGGTTTGGGGGTGGATTTTGGGTCGAAAAATGCCAATTTTGGGGCGGATTTTAGGGCACAATTTGGGGTGAAAACGGCCGGTTTGGGGGTGGATTTTGGGGTGAAAAACACCAATTTTGGGGTGGATTTTAGGGCACAATTTGGGGTGAAAAAGCCCCATTTGGGGGTGGATTTTGGGGTGAAAACGGCCGATTTTGGGGTGGTTTTTAGAGGTAAAATTCCCAGTCCTGGGGTGGATTTTGGGGTGAAAATTGTCGATTTTGGGGCGGATTTGAGGGTTAAAATTGTTGATTTTGGGGTGGATTTTGGGGTGAAAATTGCCGATTTTGGGGTAAAAATTGCCTTTTGGGGTAAAAAATGCTTATTTTGGGGTGAAAATGGCCAATTTTGGGGGTGGATTTTGGGGTGGAATTTGGGGTAAAAATGTCCGGTTGAGTGGAGGATTTTGGGGTAAAAAACACTGATTTTGGGGTGAAAATTGCCCATTTTGGGCCCGATTTTGGAGTGAAAACGGCCGGTTTGGGGGTGGATTTTGGGGCAAAAAACACCGATTTTGGGAGTGAATTTCGGGGCACAATTTGGGGTGGAAAAGCCCCATTTGGGGGTGGATTTTGGGGTGAAAATGGCCAATTTTGGGGTGGTTTTTGGGGTGAAAATTCCCAGTTTTTGGGTGGTTTTTGGTGTGAGAATTGCCCATTTTGGGGAGGATTTTGGGGCGAAAATTCCCAATTTCGGGGGTGGATTTTGGGGTTAAAAACGCCGATTTTGGGGCGGATTTTAGGGCACAATTTGGGGTGAAAACGGCCGGTTTGGGGGTGGATTTTGGGGTGAAAAATGCCAATTTTGGGTTGGATTTTAGGGCACAATTTGGGGTGAAAACGGCCGGTTTGGGGGTGGATTTTGGGGTGAAAAATGCCAATTTTGGGGCAGATTTTGGGGCACAATTTGGGGTGAAAACGGCCGGTTTGGGGGTTGTTTTTAGGGTGAAAACGCTCAGGTTGCAGGTGGATTTTGGGATGGAAACGCCCGCTCTGAGGGCGGATTTTGGGGTAAAAAATGTCATTTTTTGGGTCAAAAATGTCCTTTTCGGGGTGAAAATGTGGAAATTCGGGGTTGGGTTTTGGGGTGAAAAGGCCGAGTTTTGGGGGTGGATTTGGGGGCAGATTCTGGAGGTGAAAATTCCCATTTTGGGGTGAAAATTCCCAGTTTTGGGGTGGATTTTGGGGTGAAAATTCCCAGTTTTGGGGTGGATTTTGGGTTAAAAATTCCCAGTTTCGGGGTGGATTTTGGGTTAAAAATTCCCACTTTTGGGGCGGAGTTTGGAGTGAAAATTCCCAATTTCGGGGTGGATTTTGGGGTGACTTTTCCCAGTTTGGGGGTGGATTTTGGGTCGAAAATTCCCAATTTCGGGGAGGAGTTTCGGGGTGAACCTTCCCAGGTTTTGGGGTGGAATTTGGGGCGAAAATTCCCAATTTCGGGGTTAAAAAAAATTCCCATTTCCGGGTGGATTTTGGGGTGACCTTGGCCGGTTTCGGGGTGGATTTTGGGCTAAAAAATCCCGAATTTTGGGGTGAAAATTCCCGTTCTGGGGTCTCTTTCGTGCTGGAAACGCCCATTTTTGGTGGGGGTGGGGGAGGGGGATTTTGGGTGGAATTTTTGGGATTTTGGGTCTGAGGGGATGGAGGGGGGGTGGGGGATGGGGGAATTCGGGGGTCCCGAATTTTGGGGTGACCGCGGGGGCGGTGCCGGGGTCACTCCTCAGGTCCCTGTGGGGTCACCGGGGGGTCACGGCGGGGTCGCCCCTCCCCCCACGCCGGCGCGGCCGCTCCAGGAGGCCTCTGGTACGTGTGGGGGAGGGGCCCCCCCAAAAAATCAACTCCGGGACCCCCCAAAAATCGGGGTCGCCCCTCCCCCACCCCCCAAGCCCCGCCCCCTCACCCATTTCTTCTCTTGCAGCTCCGCCCCCCGAAGCTCCGCCCCCGACTTCAAACCCCGCCCCTTTTCCTTTAGCCACGCCCCCTTTGTCACAAGCCACGCCCCCTTTTCCCCCAGCCAATCCCCGCCCGTTTCTCCTGACCACGCCCTCGCTTTAGCCCCGCCCCTTCTCCTTGTTTAGCCCCGCCCCTTTTCCAGACTCCGCCCCCTTTTCTTAAGCTCCGCCCATTTCCCCTCTCGGGCTCCGCCCCTTTTTTTGTTCTGTTCCTGTTTTACATTAAAACGACCCAAAAAAACCGAAAGGGGCGTGGTCTGTGCGTGGGGGCGGGGCCTGTGGTGGGCGGGGTTTGGGTAATGAGGGGGGAGGGGCGGGGGAGGGAGGGACCCCAAAGAGCCAAAAAATCCCCCCAAAATTCTCCTGGAAATCCCAAATTTACCCCCAAAATTCCCAAATTTCCTCCCCAAAATTCTCTCAGAATCCCCCAAAATTTCAAAATTCCCCAAAATTCCCAAATTTTTCCCCAAAATTCCCTCATGACCTTCCTAAATTCCAAAATTTTCCCTCCAAAATTCCTTTAGAACCCTCTAAAATTACCAACATTCTCTCAAACCCCCTAAAATCCCCAAAATTTTCCCCCAAAATTCCCTCAGAACCCCCTAAAATTTCCAAAATCCCCAAAACTCCCCAAATTTCTCTCCAAAAAATTCCCTTGGGACCCCCTAAAATCCCCAATTTTCCCCCCAAAATTCTCTCGGGACCCCCAAAAATTCCCAAAATCCCCAAATTTCCCCCCAAAAATACTCTCAGAACCCCCTAAAATTTCCAAAATCCCCAAAAATTCCCTGAGGACTTCCCAAAATTTCCAAAATCCCCAAAATTCCCAAATTTCCCTCCAAAATTCCTGAATTTCCCTACAAAAATTCCCTCAGAACCCCCCAAAATTTCCCAAATCCCCAAAATTCCCTCAGGACCCCCCAAAATTCCCAAACTTCCCCCCAAAATTCCCAAATTTCCCCCCGAGAATTCCCTGAGAACCGCCAAAGTTCCCTCATGACCCCCCAAAATCCCAAAATTTTCTCCCCAAAATTCCCTCATGACCCCTAAAATTTCCAAAATCCCAAAATTCCCTCAGGAACCCCCTAAAAATCCCCAAATTTCTCCCCAAAATCCCCAAATTTCTCCCCAAAATCCCCAAATTTCTCCCTCCGACTCCCCCAAAATTCACCCCGAGCTCCCCCAGGTGTTTTTAGGGGTTTTTATTTCGATTTTTGGGGTTTTTTGGGTTTTTATTTTGATTTTTTGGGGTTTTTTGGAGGTTTTTTTGGGGATTTTTTGGGGGGTTTTTTTGGGGTTTTTATTTCGATTTTTTGGGGTTTTTTGGGTTTTTATTTCGATTTTTGGGGTTTTTTTGGGGAATTTTTTGTGGTTTTTTTTTTGTTTTTTGGATTTTTCTTTCTCCCCCCTCCCCGCCCCTCCCCCCAGCCCCAAAATCGGGGGAATTGAGCCCAAAATCAGCCCCTCAGGGCAGGGGGGGGTCGGTGGCGGCGCCGGTGGAGTCCTGAGGCTTCATCACGTCCGGCAGCTCCGGGGGGCTGGAGAAGGGCTCGATGCGCAGCCCCTCGAAGGATTCCTCTGCTCGGGGGGGAAAGGGTTAAAATGAAATTCAGGGAAACAAAAAAATCCCAAAAATTCAACCCAAAAAAAATTCCCAAAAAAATCCCAAAAATCCAACCCAGAAACCCTAAAAAACCTAAAAAATCCCCAAAAAATCCAACACAGAAACCCCAAAAATCCCAAAATCCCCAAAAAAATCCAACTGAGGAACCCCAAAAATCCAACCCCAAAAAAAAATCCCAAAAAAATCCCCAAAAAAATCCCAAAATCTCAGCCCGAAATCTCTCAGCAGCCCCTCGAAGGATTCCTCTGTTTGGGGGGGAAAGGGTTAAAATTATAAAGAGGAAACCCAAAAATCCCAAAATTCAACACAAAAAAAAAATTCCTAAAAAAATCCCCAAAAAAATCCAACCCAGGAGCCCAAAAAACTAAAAAATCCCAAAGAAATCCAACCCAGGAATCCCAAAAATCCCAAATATCCAACCCAAAAAAAAATCCCCAAAAAAGTCCAACCCAGGAACCCCAAAAACCAAAAAAAAACCCCAAAAAAATCCAAGAAACCCCAAAAAATCCCAAAAATCTAACCCAAAAAAAACCCCCAAAAAATCCAACCCAGAAGCCCCAAAATTCCCAAAAATCCAACCCAAAAAAAACCAAAAAACAAAAAATCCGCCCCAGGAACCCCAAAAACCCCAAATTCACACCCGGGAACCCCAAAAACTCCCCCAGGGGACCCTCCAAACCCCTCCAAGGACCCCCAAAAACTCCCAAAACCCCCCAGGACCACCCAAACCCCCCAAGGACCCCCAAAATTTCCCCCAAAATCTCCCCAAGACCCCCAAAAATTCCCAAAATCCTCTCAACCGCCCCCCCCAGGACTCCTCAAAATTCCCCACATCCCCCCCCCCAGGACCCCCAAAACTTTCCCAAGGCCCCCCTAAGGACCCCCTAAAATTCCCAAATTCCCCCTCAAGGACCCCCAAATCCCCCCAAAGACCCCCAAAATCCCCCTAAAGCCCCCCCAGAACCCCCAAACCCCCCCAAAGCCTTGAAATCCCTCCAGGGACACCCAAAACTTCCCAAAATCTCCCCCCAGGACCCCCCAAAATTCCCCCAAACCCCCCAAGAACCCCCCAAAATTCCCCAAATCCACCCAAGGGCCCCCCAAACCCCCCCAAAGTCCCCCCAAAGCCCCCCAGGACCCCCCAAAATTCCCCCTAAATTCCCCCCCAGGACCCCCCAAAACCCACCCAGGATCCCCAAAATCCCCCCAAAAATCTCCAAATTCCCCTCCAGGACCCCCCAAAAATTCCCCAATTCCCCCCCAGGACCCCCTAAAATTCCCCAAAATCCCCCCCAGGACCCCCCCAAATCTCCCCAAGGACCCCCAAAATTGCCCCCCAAACCCCCCCAGACCCCCCGAAATCCCCCCAAACCCCCCCAAGGACCCCCAAAAATTGCCAAATTCCCCCACAGGACCCCAAATCCCCCCCAGGAACCCCCACACCCCCCCCTGAAAATTCCCCAAATCCCCCCCAGGACCCCCAAAATCCCCCCAAAACCCCCCCAAGGACCCCCCAAAATCCCCCCAAGGACCCTCTAAAATTCCCCAAATTCCCCCCGAACCCCTCCAGGGACCCATGAAAATTCCCAAATTGCCCCAAGGACCCCCTAAAATCCCCAAATTCCCCCCCAAACCCCCCCCAGGACCCCCCAAAATCCCCTCAAATCCCCCCTAGAACCCCTCAAACCCCCCAAGCCCCCCAAAATGCCCCCAATCGTCCCCAAAATGCCCCCCAAGGACCCCCCAAAAATCCCCCAAAACCCCCCCAGGATCCCCAAAAATTCCCCAAATCCCCCCCAGGACCTCCCAAATTCTCCACCATGACCCCCAAAATTCCCCCATAATCCCCTCAAATCCCCCCAAGGACACCCAAAATTCCCCAAACCCCCCCCAGGCCCCCCCTGGACCCCCAAAATCCCCTGAAAGACGCCCAAAAATTCCCAAAATCCCCCCAAAATCCCACCCCCCGGCTGACCCCCGCAGCGCAGCGCCAGCCCCACGGTGGCCGGGGCCTGCGGCCGCGCCGTCTGGCTGGTGAAGCCGCAGTCGCCCAAAGTCTTCGAGTCCTCAAGCAGCTGGTCGTCCTGGGGGGAAAAAAGGGGGGAAAGAACCCCCAAATTATCCCAAAAGCACTACAAAATTATCCCAAAATTATCCTGAAATTATCCCAAAATTATCCCGAAAGCACCCCAAAATTATCCCAAAAGCACCCCAAAATTATCCCAAAAGCACCCCAAAATTATCCTGAAATCACCCCAAAGTTATACTGAAATTATCCCAAAATTATCCCAAAAGCACCCCAAAATTATCCTGAAATTATCCTGAAATCATCCTGAAAGCACCCCAAAACTATCCCAAAAGCACCCCAAAATTATCCCAAAATTACCCCGAAATTATCCCAAAAGCACCCCAAAATTATCCTGAAATTATCCCAAAATGGTCCTGAAATCACCTCAAAATTATTCTGAAATTACCCCAAAATTATCCCAAAAGCACCCCGAAATTATCCTGAAATTATCCCAAAATGGTCCTGAAAGCACCCTGAAATTATCCTGAAAGCACCCCGAAATTATCCCAAAATTATCCCAAAAGCACCCCAAAATTATCCTGAAATTATCCTAAAATGTTCCCAAAATATCCCCAAAATTATCCTGAAATTATCTCAAAATTATCCCGAAGTCACCCCAAAATTATCCCAAAAGCACCCCAAAATTATCCTGAAATGGTCCTGAAATCATCCTGAAATTACCCCAAAATTATCCTGAAATTATCCCAAAATGGTCCCGAAATCACCCCAAAATTATCCTGAAATTATTCCAAAATTATCCTGAAATTATCCCAAAATATCCCTGAAATTATCCCAAAATGTTCCCAAAAGTTATCCCAAAATTTTCCCAAAATATCCCGAAATTCCCCCCAAATCCCCCCAAAACCCTCCAAAAAATCCCAAATTTCCCCCCAAAATCCCCTCAAAATCCCCTCCAATGCCTGAAACCCCCCCAAAAAATAAAAAAAATCCCCAAAAAACCCAAAATAATACTAATACTAATACGAATACGAATACGAATACGAATACTAATACTAATACTAATACTAACTAATACTACTACTACTAAATAATAATAATAATAATAATAATAATAATAATAATAATAATAATAATAATAATAATAATAATAATAATAAAATCCCCACAAAAAAACCCCAAAAAATCCCAAATGAATCCCAAATAAATCCCAAAAAACCCCAAAAAAATCCCAAATAAATCCCCAAATAAATCCCAAAAAATCCCAAATAAATCCCCAAATAAATCCCAAATAAATCCTTAAAAAATCCCAAATAAATCCTCAAAAAAACCCAAAAAAATCCCAAAAAATTCCCAAATAAATCCGAAATAAATCCTAAAAAAATCCCAAATAAATCCTCAAAAAAACCCAAAAAAGTCCCAAAAAATCCCCCAAAAAATATCCAAATAAATCCTAAAAAAATCCCAAAAAAATCCCCCCAAAACCCAAAAAAAATCCCAAATAAATCCCAATAAATCCCCAAATAAATCCTAAAAAAATCCCAAATAAATCCTCCAAAAACCCCAAATAAATCCCAAAAAACCCCCAAAAAAATAAAAAAAATCCCAAAAAACCCCAAAAAAACCCAAAAAATCTCCAAAAAAAAAAATCCCCAAAAAATCCCCAAAAACCCCAAAAAAATCCCAAAAAAATCTCAAAAAAATAAAAAATTAAAAAAAACTCCCCCAAAAACCCCCAAATAAATCCTAAAAAAATCCCAAATAAATCCTAAAAAAACCCCAAATAAATCCCAAATAAACCCCAAAAACATCCCCAATAAAGTAAAATAAATTTTTTTTTTAAATCCACAAAAAATCCCAAATAACCTCCAAATAAACTCCAAAAAAACTCAAATAAAACCCCAAAAAACCCCCAAATTCCCCCCAAATTCCCCTGTTCCCACCTTGTAGAGGCGCTGCTCGTGGGGCGGGCGGTGCAGGATTCCCGCCACGATTCGCTTCAGCTCCAGAACCGTCGACGACTCCTTGGCCTCGGTGAAAATCGTCGTTTTGTGCCGCCGGATCATCAGGAACACGTCCTGGGGGGGAGGGGAGGGTCAGCCCGGCCCGGGGCCACCGAAATCGGGGCCGGGGCCACCGAAATTGGGGTTGGCCACCGAAAATTCGGGAATTTTGGGGCTTTTCCGGCCGTTTTTAGGGGTTTTGGAAGGTGTTATAGTGAGTTTTGGGGCGTGGCTATTGAAGGAGTGGGCGTGGTTAATAAATAAATGGGCGTGGCTCTTTGAAAGTGGGCGTGGCTAATGAAAAAGAGGATGTGGCTAGTAAAAAATTGGGTTTGGCCACCGAAAATTGGGAGTTTTTGGGGCTTTTCTGACCATTTTTAATGGTTTGGGAAGGTGTTATATTGAGTTTTTGGGGCGTGGCCTGTGTAAAATGGGCGTGGTTAATAAAAATGGGCGTGGCTAATGAAAAAGAGGATGTGGCTAGTAAAAAATTGGGTTTGGCCACCAAAAATTGCCAATTTTGGGGCTTTTCCAGCCTTTTTTAGGGGTTTTAGAAGGTCTTATAATGAGTTTCGGGGCGTGGCTCATTGAAAATGGGCGTGGCTTGTAACGGAATGGGCGTGGCTAGTAAAAAGGGGGCGTGGCTAGTGAAAAATTGGGGTTGGCCACCAAAAATTGGGAG